CGGTTTTTATGTGAGGAATCTATTTATTAGTAGATTTTATTTTATAGTATTAATAAAGTAATGTTAACTATGTTTCGATAATGTTGGCTATTAATACCATACCTTGAGCTCCATGTCCTCCTTAGCCAAAGCAAATTTGGTGAGCTGTGTATCGTTCACCACATCGTCATACGTGTAATAGTGGGCCGAGTAGTCAGTGGAGGCAACCGGTAGTCGTCCCATATTATACTCGATACCATTTTTGCTGAACAGGCTTTCCATCAAATAAGTGGACAGTTGTTTGGGAACGGCGTTCAAAACCATACCGAACTCATCGGTGAAGGCGCCGCCGAAACCAATAATACTCTGATACTTCTGGTTCTTATCGATGGTTATGGTTTGCGTGTCTTTATTAGATCTGGTGGTCTGAGGGCTGGTATGTGTTTGCAGTTTGAGTTGTGTCTCTTGAAACCTGTGCCCACTTTTGCCACTTTCATAGACCAATACATAGCCGGCCTTCGGGAGGGTTAGCTGCGGGAAGTCATCGCAATAGGTTTGGTTACAGACGCATACGCTATCGGCGCCCGTAATCTTTCGCTCGGCACAGGGTTTGTCGCATAAAACTGTATGAATTGTATTGAAATGAAATATTACTTGTTTTGAATACTAGCTAATATACAAATCATTTAAAAATTACTAACCATTAGCCACTGAAAATGAAATAAAAATTAATGAAAAGTAATTAAACATTTTGGAAAGTGTTTCTATTTGTTTTAATTTAAAAAATATGTTTACATGAGCTTGTTATTTATACTGTTTTTTTTGGTATCATTGAAGGTAATCTTGCACTTAGGATACCATTACGGATATCAGGGGTAAATAGTAATTGGTTAACAACAGCTTAAGTAAAACTTTAGATATTTTGTAAGTATGTACTCTTAAGCACTTTGTGAGAAAGTAACATTTACTAAGTATTGATATAGCAATCAATTTTATTTTCTTTTATTAATTATCAATCCAAAGTATGGCATGAGGTACGCCAACTGTTATAAATAATAACCATGATAATGTATGAAAATCATATTATTATATCAGTGCAAGATATACCAAAGTATGTGCGATTTTTCATTAAAAATTAAAACATGATAACTGAATACAAAATACACAAGATATAGTGTTTTAAAATGTATTGAAAATACGCACATACCTTTGGTATATCTTGCACTGATATACAGTTTTGTATATTATTATATACAATTCACCAATGTATGAAAATTAAATTAAATTATAGTCACCTTTTTGATAATAAAGCCGCAAATTGTGTCATATCTATGGTATTTCCGACAAATCTTTACAGCTATATATGTGATAGGATTATACGAAAAGGTGACATGAACTCTGCTTACAATATGACTGTATAGCATTGAAACAATATTAACTTTGTTTTTATTTTATATTACTCATAGAGTTCATGTCACCTTTTCGT